CTCCGTGGTCAACACACAAAGTACGCAATCTAACTGTGCATGGAACGCGCGCGACACCTATTCTACCTAATCGTTGTTAGCATTTCTTCATACCCCGTCTTCACGTCATCTGTTGACCTCCACGTGGTTTCCTCCAACCTGGAGCCACAACTGCGAATGAGGCGCAATGAAGTAGAGGACAAAACGTGCCCTAGCCAGTGAAGCCTACTCATCTGAATTTTATGTGATAACAAATTTTCCAAAGAATCATTAGCCAATACGCCATAACTCATCTCGGAGTTGTTTACACGCTCGCTCCAAATGCCATCCATATGTGATTCTATATTTCTGGTTAGGTTCTCATGAGTAAGTGTTTGATTTTTGAATAAAGGAGTCGTTTCCTCTAATGTTTATGGCACCAAAGTGTATGATGGAAACCTGTTTTCGTGTTTTGATCAGATCCCGAACAGTTTTGTGAAATACGACACCACGAATCCTTTTGCCTTCCCTCACTGCATGATTCCCCATTGTGTTGTGGCAGCCCTTTGATTGGCCGCTTCCCCATTTCTGAAAATTGATCAATAAGTATTTAATAAAAGGAAGTAAATATATAACAAATGTAACAAAAACAGTAGAAAACTAACCAAGATAAAACCTATCTTATCTTTTGGAAAGTGACTTGTGTAGGGCGCCAAATACACATTGGTGGTATTCTAACCAACTTGGGATTCATCCATCGTCTGGATTTGATCTAGCGCTAAGAACAACAGTGAGATTCCATAGAATATCTTAATCATTACAGTTATTTCTAATAGCAGTAGAATAATCATCGTTTTCATTCCACACGGTTATTCTATTTATTTGATCAATTTCCCCATTCTGCCTATTAGGCCGGTGCAAAGGATACAAACAAATCTGCCGTCTCCAACTTTCCTTCATCGACAATGAGCTCAACTCACGATGGTCAAGTTATCAGTGACGCGAAAATTACCGCGTGTGTGGTAGCTGCAAGTAAACCGCTGATCGGTCGGCAATCACTAGCGGCTACACCCTTGACTACACACGATTATTACTGGCCAAAAGGTTCTGTACCCGTCCCAAATGAGCAGCAACAGTATCATCAACGTCTAAATAAGCTACTTGAGAGACATCAGACCAAGCAACTCAAGCATCTCCGTAATGACCATCCCGGCTCCAGTGCATCTCGGGCTGGACGATACTCCCTTGGCCCCACCACCTCTTCCAGCTTTCTAATGCCCGTCTGCGAAGTCACCCGAGGGCAACGCGACGATAACCATGCCCGTAACTTCGGTGCGACTAGTCGAGTACATGACTCGGCATATGTGGATAATCGAAAGATAATTCCCACTGCATGCTCACCTTCTAAACTGGCTCGTATCTCAATCGACGCGTGTCGCACGGCCCCACCAAACCGTCATCACCCTCCCACATCAGATGCCCTGGTCACGACTGAACCAAATTTGCCACGATCAGTTACACGAAATACACCCTCAGACAATGCCTCTGGTTTGCTGGACGACGATGACGAGCAATATTTGGCCAAGAATCACGACGGTGCAGATGCCGAGGATGATGTGATCCCGGAAAGTGAAGATCCAGAAAACCATGTGGCCAATACCAGTTTGGGAATCAATTCAGCCATGACCGGACTGGCTTTAGTCACCCGTACACAGTCAATGGGCTCGCAGAGCAGTGGTGATATCGGTTTGGTTGTGACCACGCCCTCACCGTCCGTACCCAGTACTCGTCCATAATCGTACAAAAATCCGCATTGCATTTATTTTTTGAACAAGCATTTTATGTTTATTTTTTACAACACTTTTGTAGCTCGTATTTGCCTTTCCCTCTTTCTCTGTCTTCCCTGACTGAAAGCTCCCCATCAGGTGCCTTGCTTTTTCAGCACCATTCTTATTTCTACTAAGAAAAGAGGAAGAAACCGGTCTCGAATTGATATAAGAGAGAGCAATGTGTTTTGTATATGTGAACTTTTGTACTCAGGTCATATAAGGATGATGGTTTGTATATGTATATACGTATTTGTATGTTGCAATATAAGTTTTGTTTTGCACAGAACAAGCCAAATAAGTGTGCATTGAACAAGGAAGGGGAAGGAAGAGGAGCTGGGAAAGGACAAGTTCCCGAATTAAAATCACCATAAAGGATTACGTGATACACCACCTGGTGGTTGACTGGTACGAATTCCGGAACGCAAAGGTTGATTATCATCTATTTGTGCACCTGCAAATGAAAGTGACAGTTGTGAAAATGGATAATGGACCCATTTTTTTGTTAGCTGTGCAATCGCCATTTGAAGAGAACAAACGAAATAGTCGAAATAGAGCTTAATGAAGTCAACGACAAGAAAATCAAAACACCGGCATACCACATGTATTGAGAATTTCATCTTGGCTAGTGTTCCAACTTTTGTAAACAGATTGTCCAGCTAGGCAAACATGGTGACAGGAGCCAGTCAGCTGGACCTACGACAACCGATTTCCATCGGTTATTACCTTCAGTGATTTTCGCGTAATCGCAAAAAAATGCGATGAAGATAATTCGTTCGCGATGGAACCCTAAATCGCCCCGACGCATGCCGTTCGGAATGGTGGGCGGAGAAATTTAGAGAGCTGTTCGACTAACTTAACCTTATCTGACATGGCAACTTCTGCTCCTATGGTGTCATTACGGTCGTTCATCCTAAATGGAGAATATCCAAAAAGTCAATAAACCGCATAATTTGTCTTTGTTGGTTTTCAACGATGGAGATCAAGCTTTGGTGCTGGATCTGATATGAGTTCTTGCTTTCACACGACAGCGCGCCCCAGTCTCATCAGGTTGATATGATGTGATCATCTTATTGATTTGCTCGAAGGACGTTAGGTCCTGCAAAATCAGAAGACCATAGTCCAGTTGGTGACTTACGAACCCGGAATAATTCGATTGGGAGTTAAGAAAATGTGGACCTTTAATCCAGCTACCTTCTGGGTTCATACGAGCTAGCTTATACACTGGTCAGTGGTGCTGAAAACACCGGCCGGTTCGAATAGAAAGTTCCATTTAGCTCTGACGTTATTTCTGGATATGAACTGGCTGTGTTTACTTTAGAGTACCTTTCACTTCATATGACAATTCCTGTCTTGGTACGAATTTTGCGAGTAAAGTTTGTACACCAGTTACAAATTATATCAATAACCATGCTTCAACATTCGGCGGTTTTTTATTTTTTAGCTGAAGCAGTAAATGACTGGGAATGTTGAGGGCACTGTGAAGATGAAATCATCGATGGTGAAATGCGAAATTCGAATTGGGAAGATAGTCTCGAGTAGGTATTGATGTCCACCAAAATTATATTAACTGTTAATCCGTATTTAGCTAGTTCATGGTCGACAAACTGGAGAATGCCCTTATGGGACTCCTAAATAATATATATATATATATATAGTTTTTACCTCGCAATTCACATCCGTGAAAGATGCGTATGCACACATTTTGGTGTTGGTTCAACCTGTGGTTGCACCAAAAGACAGCAACCAAAACCGGCGCACGAAAGTGCAGGGTTAATGGTTGTAAAAACTGAAACTGAATGGAACTGTGGTGGTTCCCCTTCTGCTTTTTTTTCTGGGTGTATTTTTATGCTGCAACTGTCCGACCAGATGTACCATTCGGCCCTAAAAATGCAGATTGAGGACAAATGAGAACTACTGGTGTTTGAAATCGGTTGTCTGCGCTGCTTTTCACGGGTTTGTTGAGGCAAATGTACGAGCAATGTCAAAAGTTGGTCCAGGGTTTTGAATAGTCGCGCTAACTCAAGTGCCTTATTGCGATGGCTGTTTTGCACCTTCCTCCAGGTAGACTTCCTTGGCGTGTCACGCTTGCCGGACAAGGTTGTGGTTCTAAACTTGTTAGGGGTAACCAGCATGTCTTAGAGTTGATCGTGCAAGTCACGTTAGCTGCTCACTTGGGAACTTCTTGACAAACCTAATCGACAATTATAAATAGTGGGTGATATGGCCTAGTGTTGTCAACACTGGTGCGTCTAGTTTAGCTTCCAGCAGCCTTTTACTCCATTTTCACTGATCGACCAAATCTTTATACGAATGACCGTCCATTGCCAGGGTCCTAGTTACGTGAACTGAACCTCAGGTACAGCACGTAGTCGCTAAATTCATGCCCGACTTTCTTCTTACTCTGATAAAAACTGATCGGCAGTTGAGCAAAACTACGACCGTTAGATGATTAGTATCCGAATTTTGGCCACAGCTTTTTCAGACATCCAGTGTTGCTTGAAGGTCCTCGTGTTGTACTGAGGAGTTGAAACGAGCTGTTGATATCAACTGTATGCATTCATCTTCCGAACTTCCCGCACAACATCACTTATTAACCAGGGGCAAAACAAAAAAGCCACTACACTTACCACTCAATGAGAATCCCGAAGCGTGTAGATCCCGATGTCCATGTACCATACGCACAGAAGGAGAATCGGTTGTTATGGTCTGTGTAATTCTTTGTTTATCCGTCGCGACCGCGGACGCTGATGGCACAGGTGAGGTGTGATCACCTTTGGTGGGATCCGCAGTGGTTTTATCTGTCGTCAGTTCATCGTTAAGTGCACCCATAGCCCACGGACCTCGGTTTTTCACATATTGATGTCTTTTCCTCAGCTAATTGTTGGAAAACGATGGACATGTTAAGACCGAGTTATTACCGTCCTTAAACTTTAAAAATAGTTTAACTAAAGTAGATGGTAACAAAGCCCCGGTAGGGAACTTTGGAATGTTTCTATTGAAAAGGTGTACATACTATAATGGTAGGATTCACAATGAGAATTTCGAACTTCTGCGGTCAATGGAGAATATGTATGTATGTATGGCAAAATGTATCCAACTTTTCGGGCATAGTCTATCGCATGGACGCTTCGGTCTTACCTCTGTTATATTTGAGATCTTAGTTTATGGACAATCAAAAATTAGTCCCCCGGTGGTCAAGTGCGTTCTACTGCGTTTGCGATTCTCAGTTGGGTCGATGGATTCGCACTTTTAGTCAGACACAGCCAGGTCGAAGCAACCGTACAAGTGCTTCCTAGGTTTTCAGTTCACAACTTGTTTGCTCTATACACAGTGAACTGATCATATCCTTTATTTTGGCGTGGCCGGGTTCGTGCCTGAGACGATTTTTCATCNGAGTTTTTCCATTTCAAGTGATATTATTCTCATCTGCCTTTTTCTTCATTCGCTTTCAACGTTTTGGTGGATGAGATTTTAGAGATGCTCAATCTCTACGTGCGAATGGTGTCAAATTTCTCTCTTGATGGAACACTCCGATTTTGCATATCTCTCGGTGCTGGTGTGTTGTTTCTCGAATGCGCTTCAAGCTTTCCAGAACAGCTCCTGTAGCAGTGAAACTATTCTTCACTTGCGCTTGCCACTTTCCTAGAGTAAAATACCATCAGAGGAATGATCTGACTCGTAATAATCTTCGACGATCGTGATGCCAGCGTTCTACCTGGTGATCTTCAACTAGCTTCAGAATCAAATAAACCACATTGCCATCAGTGGTCGATGAAGAGGATGTATAAAGGACTGAGAATACACCGGCAGAACCGGCCACAGTTCCGAGTACGCACTCGTGTGCGCAAACTGCTCTCTGTCCTTTGACGGAAAACAGAAACGTTACTCAAAAGGAATTGGCCTATTGGAGCGGTTCCGCCCAAACGCAGTTACCACCGACCGAATAACTAACTGCTAATCTACAAAATCCTACTCGAGGAAACGTCGACACTCATCGGTATCACATCCGCAGGCGGTGGTGGCCCGGTGGTAACGTCACCAAATTATCACTCCGGAGGACGAGTGTTCGAATCCCACCATGAACACCGGACTTTCTCCATTTGTGTCATGTATCGCAGCCCTTTGATTGGCCGCTTCCCCTTTCCTGAAAATTGTATCATTATGTATTCAATAAAAGGAAGTAAATATTAAAAAAAGAATAATGTGGCTTCGCGAAATGCACCAGTGATCACTGGATTTCTCTGCGTTCCCTCCTACTGCTCGACGCTCAGACAATACAGATAAGTTGGCTCGTGAGACCGTCAGCGCGGAACTAAAGAACACCGACACAGGATGCCTCCGAGATGGAATAAGCCACCGCCTGAGGCAATTTTTCAGTCTTTTCCTTCTGATCCAAACCACTGGTATCAAAATGTATAGCGTGAGATCATTTGCGAAACGGACGGCGAGCTTATCTACGATGCACGACGTCGGCTTGCCCGTTGGGCGGAGCCCTTTAAAAAACAGTTCAGTCCACCAATGTCTACACCTATTGACACAGTGCTGCATTCTCCTTGGACATTTCGCTGCTTATCGAGGAAAAACTTTAGCGGGAACTTCAACTGCTACGATTCTGCGATCCTAATCCGCTTCATTTGTAAAGAACACTATCACATCCGTCAAGTGGATTCTGCGTTGGAACCGAGTTGCGTTAACCATTTCGTCACTCTGCACCAGACCCTGAACTCTGACAGACCTTCAATAAACCGATCACCGACGTTCTTTTCGATATGTATGCTGCTGTATGCTGCTCTATGGACTGGTTTAGAGTTTCAGTTTTTACAACCACGATCATACACTTTCGTGCACCGGTTTCAGTTGTTGCCTACAGGGAAGTTCATAATCCTTCAGGAAGTCGTCCTCTCAGAAACATCAAGCTGCATCAATGTTTACTGCAAGTTCTCATGTTTGTTTAACATCGCATGCGAAGTGTGACGGGGATGCCTGGTTTCGTCCTTGAATTTCGAAAGGGACGCGGTTCCAAGGAGTGTCATATAAAACTGCCATAATTTTGGCGTTAAGGTGCTCCATTGTGATTGACTTCATGATTCGTAGTAAATAGACGATATTTGTGCTATCTCTTTGACTCCTCTCAAGCAGTTCAGGATAGCCCATCCAAGCCAGAAAATTCTATCTCGTATTTTGTAATGGTCTTCTCTCTCTGAAATGCAGACTAGCAAAAAGCTGCATCAACACCGACAAGTAACCATTCGGAAATTCTCAGTCAATTTCTCTATCTTGGGAGTTGCTTCAGTTTAAAAGCAGAGCCCGGTTGATTTTCATTAACCTTCTTCCATTTTGACAGGGTCACGGTTCTGCACTTTCATTGAATAGCCGAGTTTACCGTACGCGTGGTTTTACTGTCTAGCTACAAAAATTCAGCCATTCATGTTAAGGACGAAAGTAGATTGACATTCTCTGTTTTCAGTACAAAAAGAAGATAAATATCGTGAAATGATAACATTTCGTTTAACCTTCTCAATGGCCAACTTTAAACAAAGGAACATACATAGCAGATAAAGTTATTCAATTATGTTGAATGAACATGTACAAGCATACAAATAATACTAAATATGGAAGTAGCAGATCAACTCCACGGTAAGTGGGTTGATTGTATCAGAAGCGTTTGGGCACACAAAGCCCAGTGATGTGATCAAATAAGCAACACTTCACTAATTGCCAATAGTTTAGCATTGCGATTACGTAATGGCGGTTTGAAAGACAAATTAAGGTCAAATATATCTCGTTGTCATGATGTTTTGCAACAGATGACCCTGAATTTCTTGTGATTACTTGACCATCAGTTATCAGTTGCGTCTTTGATTTCACCAGTTTCAGTTTGAACAACCATTAACCATGCAATTTCGTGCGCCGGTTTTGGTTGCTGTCTTTTGGCTGCCCATTGGGATGAGGAATAGGAGAAGAAAGGAAAGTTGAAAGTGGATTCGAGAGGAAAATGGAGAAGTTCAGTGGACTAAGGTCGGGAAGAAATTGAGGAGATGCACGAACGCCACTGTTTACGACACCCAACCATATCGCTCAGTGTCTCTAACCATCGGTTACGATCATCCCGAGGTCCCCAGCCAGGGAGCCTAACAGGACCTATGTGACCCAGTTTCCTGGTTAGGGTTTTCATACCCTCGTGCCAGGTCTTAACTTGACCACCCTTGGCTTTTTTCCACTCTGTATCTTCTTCGGCGAACATCGCTCGCCGTGGTAACCTACCTGGTGACATGCGTAGCACATGTCCCAGCCAACGTAATCTATGGAGGTCGATCACTTGCTCCAGTGGGCGACCGTATTTACCCAAAACTCTGTCCTTAACCTCAGCATTGCTCATCNAGAAATTGAGGAGATGCACGAACGCCACTGTTTACGACACCCAACCATATCGCTCAGTGTCTCTAACCATCGGTTACGATCATCCCGAGGTCCCCAGCCAGGGAGCCTAACAGGACCTATGTGACCCAGTTTCCTGGTTAGGGTTTTCATACCCTCGTGCCAGGTCTTAACTTGACCACCCTTGGCTTTTTTCCACTCTGTATCTTCTTCGGCGAACATCGCTCGCCGTGGTAACCTACCTGGTGACATGCGTAGCACATGTCCCAGCCAACGTAATCTATGGAGGTCGATCACTTGCTCCAGTGGGCGACCGTATTTACCCAAAACTCTGTCCTTAACCTCAGCATTGCTCATCTGGCTACCCCACCAGATTCGTGCAATGCTGCGTAGACAGCGGTGTTCAAACACCACCAACCACTTTGGAATATATTCGGCCATCCGTTGCGAGAGCTGATGGTTTGTTCTGCCTGTATATGCTTAACCGTAACTGCAGGTGAACTGACATACAATGTGTAAGACGGAACCGGTTGTCAGCCATGTTTACGTTTGTCCAGATCAGTTTCACGATTAGAGGCGAGGAGTCAGAGTTGGGCAGCTGGGAACGTACGTTCTAGAGCTGCCCTTAACTTACAGAGCATATCATTGCAAATGTAGTCGCCTATGAAATCCTGTTCTTCCTTTAGTGTATCTGAAGAACTAATGTTTCTATCCCGATGAAAAAGGGTTACCCGTTTTGTGAGCCATGGGGGAAAGCTGGTATTGACCATCCCATGTCACTTTTCGGTAAATTTGAGCGTTGTAATGTCCCACTTATTCGCCTTGTAAATTTTATATCTATAGGAACACTAGTATTTTTGGTTTCTACTTCAATGGATAAAGAGAGGTGTGGATGGACTGGCCTCTAAGTGCTTCCATCTGTCTTCATTGATTTGGACACCTGCTAGGAATGACACTTGAACAACTGAACCGCCTAGCTGTATTTGCGCAAGGTGACTCAAGCTGCAAACGACCAGGAATTTCGCATCTATATAAAAATTGAGTGATGAGCACTTTGATATCTTGCTTTTCCTTTACTTGGTCTTGGTTTTGTTCAAGGACCGATTGATATCGTCTGTGTGCGGGCGCGCGCGCGTGAGTTTTGCTTGCATTCAACTTACTCGATCAGTGGCATGAACTGGCCCATAGACTGCCGCTGGGAATGGCCTCACGTCCAGATACGCACCATGTGGTCGAGGTTCCTCATCCGGTACAGATTGTCGTTCAATGGTTACCGGTGGATTGTTGTCCACAGTTTGGTGTGCCAGTTTACCCTCACGAGCCATTACTTGACCACGAAGTAATACAGCAATCGGTCGACCGGATCCCGAATGTTGCTGACTTCCGACTGGCCAGAAGACCAAGTCCGCATCTGAACCGGGATTAATACGTCCTTTGGAAGGATATAGTCCGGTCAAACGTGCGGCGTTTCCAGATATTGCACTGACAAATGAGGAAGCATCTAACCAACCGGTGGGCTGTCGAAACATGAGAAATGCATGAGTGTCAGGAAGCAAAGTCCAAGCTGGAAATTTATTTTGTAAATCAACTAATAGGTACCGAATTTGCACAGGGAACCGTGTAATCAGTTGGACTCTGACAGTACAGAACGTAATTGAAGATAAATCATATCAAGACACATTTTTCGGAGTCAGTCTAAACGGCTGATCTTGAGACTCGACAAACGCCAAATTTCCGCTTATCCGAAATCACAAATGAAATGGGTCTGGTTATGGAAACTTTCAACCAGTTGGAACATGTTGGTAGCACTGAAACACCGGCTTGCGGACAAGTATGGTGCCAACGCCAAAACAATAATAACTAAGAATAACGGGAGGGGGGTTGGGATGCAGAACAAGAAAAAAGACGGAACTGTTAGGATGGAAAATTACAAATAAATGGGATAACATTTTTTTGTGCGTTTCACCGTACACTTTCGGAAATTTTGTGTGTGCTAGTTTCTCATTTTTTCAGGGGCGGGGAGGGGGGAGGGGCACGGGACTTCAACAGGCAGACCGATGCGGAATTCGCACCACTGACTTCTATTCTGCGCCATATCTCTCACAGTCTCTAATCAACGACAATCCTCATCCCTTGGGCCCTAACCTAGAAGGCGAGCTGCACCAACCGAAGCCAAAGCTGAAGCCAACTTCTTCATACCTCTACCTCGTCCACAAAGGATGGCCACCAAGATGGTCAAAGGATTCCAATACCTGTCATACGAGGACAGATTGCG